TTCAATTTGTTTTATTTTATTTTTTAGGCTTCCAAAAGACTTGCTAAATGTAATGAGATAGGAGACACTGACATTGTAGAAGAAGAAGCAGTTCTCTCTAAGAATCAAATGTAGTTGGGATTTTAACGTCGTCGAAGACAAATGGTGGTAGTGATCCTTATGGGTTGAATGTTGTTAATTCTTGGATGTGTGGAAAGGACTTAATAAAGCAAAGAATGTAAAAATATTCCAAGGAAGCCTAAAGCTTCATTTCTTATGGATTGAGAGGTGGGATGGATGTGCTTATCATTCCATAACTTTTAAACTGTGATTTCCATAAACTAGATGGACACCCAGGACTATTCTTAAAGATGTCTTTATCTCCACTGAAGTTGGTTTTCCACATTACTCCTCATCTCCATCACTCTGATCCCCATCATGAACTGCCTCTCTCTGATTTTATCCCCATCTCCCACCCTTCCTCAACTGAAGCCTTTCCAGTGTGCCCTTTGGAAACCAGCAAACCCTACATTTGGAGAAAAAATTAAAAGTGCTCCGTTTATCTTCTTGTTGGATCTGAAACCTGAATCTCCCCTGACCACTTTGCCTCCCCTACACCTATTTTGGAGGAGCCCTGGTGGCGCAGTTGTTAAAGCACTTTGCTGCTAACCGACAAGTCAGCAGTTTGAACCCACTGGCTGCTTCACGGGAAAAACGTGGCAGTCTGCTTCCGTAAAGATTTACAGCCTTGGAAACCCTATGGGGCAGTTCTACTCTGTCTCATAGCGTTGCTATGCTTCATAATTGACTCGATGGCAGTGGGGGGATACCCATTTTAGGGAACCCTGGTGGCGCAGTGGTTAAGTACTTGGCTGCTAACCTGAAGGTTGGTGGTTCAAACCCACCAGCTGTTCCATGGGAGAAAGATGTGGCATTCTGTTTCCATAAGGATTAAAAAACAACCAACCAAACCCATTACACAATTCCAACCCATACCCTATGGGACACTGTAGAGCTGCCCCATAGAGTTTCTAAGGAGTGGCTGGTGGATTCAAATTGCTGACCTTTTGGTTAGCGGCCTGAGCTCTTAACCACTGCCCCACCAGGGCTCCTCCATAAAGATTACAGCCTTGGAAACTCTATGGGGGCAGTTCTGCTCTGTCCTATAGGGTCACTATGAGTCGGAACTGACTCGACAGCACACAACAACAATCTTTACGGAAGCAGATTGCCAGGACTTTCTTCTGTGATGCCGCTGGTGGGTTTGAACCTTTAGGTTAGTAGTCCAGGGCAAACCGTTCGTGTCACCCAGAGACCTTACGCGGTCAGGGAGGGAATAGTGTAGATGAATGATTGCACTGGATGTAAATGCATTGGCTTCATTCACGTACGTGGAGGTATATGAATGATATAAACCGGTTCCTGTGGAGTCAATTCCAACTCATAGCGACCATATAGGACAGAGTAGAACTGCCCCATAGGGTTTCCAGGAAGCAGCTGGTGGATTCAAACTGCTGACATTTTGGTTAGTAGCCTGAGCTCTTAACCACTGCGCCACCAGGGCTCCATGAATGATATTGGAAGGTTATATATTACTCTCATGATAGGATTGCTTCTGGGGTTTTGGGTGAGGGGAATGAGACTGGGTTGGTAGTCAAAAGGATCTTCACCTTTATCTGTAATGTTAGTTAGAGGGAATGGGTGCTTTGTTTATTTTTTTATCTACAAATGTATTTCTAAACTACTTTCATCAGTCAGGAGGAGAGATACAGCCCAAGTTAGAGCACTAGAAGGACAAACAGGAAGAAGGGGGTGTAGGAGATCAAGTTGCACCTGCATTTCTAGTGCTTTCAGCATCTTTCCAAGTCAACGTGGAGAAGGGACCATAGTTCCTTCAATCTATGCTCTCCCTCCAGTCATTCCCAGTAACAAACCTTCCTCCCAGCTTTTTCAGAGTGTTAAAATATATTACTTTATTGAATACTTAAAATACCATTGTGAGACAGGATAGAAATTTTCCCAAGATGGTGTTTCAATGGCTCGTCCAAGCTCACAGAGCAAATAAAAACCACATAAACGTCACATGATATGAAACACATCTGAAGGGGGTGCCAGAAAAATTGTAGCCACATTAGTGTCGGGGACTCGTAATTCCTGGGTGCACAGTAGGTACATGGAAGGGCCCCAACACCTGTCCTTTGTGGATGCTCTTGAGTCAGGAGGCGTTCAGGCTGCTTTCAATTAGATCTCTTACTCTTGTGGTTCTGCCTCTGTCTCAGTAGTTATCTATGATGATTGTCAAAGAGGGGTTTCTCTCGTCCTCAGCCATCAGAAGTCTCTGGGTTTCCTCACCAAATTTGGCTTTTTGCAGCCTGGTAAAATATAAAAGGGGATCTGTTTATTTCACACTTAAAAAAAAAAAAATTCTCTTTATCCCATCTTTCTCTATAATTTCTTCCTTGGGCAAGTCTAGGAGACCCTAGTGTTGCCTCTAAGGGGAAAGACATCTATCATGTGCAGCAGTGTGCTAATAAATATTTAACACCTGGCTCTGGGGGAGGAGGAGGAGGAGAAGCAGGAGAGGGAGGAGAAGAACAGTAGCTCTGATTTGTAGCATTTGCCCATTTCTGTGGTGTAAATTATTCAATCATGGCAGCCAATTCCAAGCTGCCAATTAGATGTCACTAACAGAGTTAGAAGAGGTACATATAAATGGCTCTTGCCAGCTGGTAGGAGCTAGTTCTAACACATCGCTGTACAGAATAAATATCCTGTCTGATAGAAAGCACCGTTATTTCACAAAAACACCAGGGTTGGGGACAAGAACCTAGTGGAAGAAGCTAGGGAGAAAGACTGAAGCTGTTTTTATTTTTAAAAGGATAAAATATTAGGAACTTCCAGTTTTGGGTGCCTGAGGTGGGGGGAGGGGGAATGAATGACAAAAAGAAATGCTAAGGATTATATAGTAATCAAATAAAAACATTTCTATAATTACAATACAAACACATATGGCTTGTATTATAACTATAACTCTGTTGTTGTTAGGTGCTGTCGAGTCGATTTCAGTTTGCTGTTGAGTCTATTTCAACTCGTAGCGACCCCATGTAACAGAGTAGAACTCTGTCTTGTCTAGAATCTTTACGGAAGCAGATCACCAGGTCTTTCTCCTGCAGAGCTGCCGAGTGGGTCTGAATCGCCAATCTTTCAGTTAGCTGCCGAGAGCTTAACTCTTGCGCCACCAGGGCTCCTTATTATAACTATAACTTGTGTTATAATAGTAAGCACCATCATCCACCAGTTACTGGGCCGTGTGAGTGCCTTATACTCACTGTCTCTTATTCCTGCAGCAACCCTGAGACAGGAAACACCATCTGGATTTTAAACGCAATGAGATTAGACTGCACACGTTATACATCTCAGGACACCATCAGTCCCTTCTTAGCCCCAAGGACCCTCCCTGCCAAGGAAGAGAATAAGAACCAGCTCACCTAAGCATCCTCAGGGCGCACTCAGTGTGTCTTAAGCCCTCACACAGCACCACCACCCCGTCGTGGTCCAAGGTGTTGCCAGTCAGGCTTAGCCTCCTCAGAGTTTTACTTTGGGTAAGAGCAGAGGCAAGGTCCTCACAGCAGGCACTAGTCAGCTGACATGAATCCAGTCTGCAATAAGACACACAGTGAGAATCAGCCCCACCCTCAGGGTGAAGGAGAAGGCAGAGGGATGGGACATGAGCCAGACTTTAAAAAAAAAAATTATTTTTGTTGTTGAAATAGCCAGCAGAACAAACACCCCTTCAACTATTTCCACATGTACAATTCAGTGACATTGATGACATTCTTCAAGTTGTATAACCATTCTCACCCTCTGTTTCCATATTGTTCTTCTTCCATTAAGATAAACTCACTGCCCCCTAAGCTTCCTATTTAACTTTCAAGTTGCTGCTGTCAATTTGATCCCATATAGTTCTTTATTTTTTTTCTTTTTATTTGTTTTTTACTTTTATTTTTTATTGTTGTAGTTTAAATGAAGTTTACATTTCAAGTTAGTCTCCCATGCAAAAATTTATACATACATTGTTATATGACCCTAACAGCTCTCCCCATACTGTGACAGCACACTCCTCCTTTCCACCCCTGATTCCCCATGTCCATTCAACCAGCTCCTAACTCTCTCTGCATTTCCATCTTACCTCCAGACGGAAGCTGCCTGTTTAGTCTCTTGTATCTACATGAGCTAAGAGGCACACTCCTCACGAGTATCACTTTATGTCCCACAGTCCAGTCCAATCCCTGTCTGAAGAGTTGGCCTCAGAAATTGTTTTAGTTCTGGGCTGATAGAGAATCCGGGGGCCATGCTTTCCAGGGTTCCTCCAGTCTCATTCAGACCGTTAAGTCTGATCTTCTTACTAGAATTTGAGTTCTGCACCCCACCTTTCTCCTGCTCCATCAGGGACTCTGTTGTGTTCCCTGTCAGGGTGGCCGTTGGTGGTAGCTGGGCACCATCTAGTTCTTCTGGTCTCAGGCTGATGAAGTCTCTGGTTTATGTGGCCCTTTCTGTCTTTTGGGCTACTACTTTCCTTTTGTCTTTGGTGTTCTTCATTCCCCTTTACTCCAGGTGGTTGGGACCAATTGATGCATCTTAGATGTCTGCTTGCAAGCTTTTAAGACCCCAGATGCCACTCACCAAAGCAGGATGCAGAACATTGTCTTAATAAGCTTTGTTATGCCAAATGACCTAGATGTCCCCTGAAAGTGTGGTCCCCAGACCCCTACCCCTGCTACTCTGTCCCCCAAAGTGTTTGACTGTATTCAGGAAACCTCTTAGCTTTGGTTTAGTCCAGTTGTGCTGACATCCTCTGTAGTGTGTGCTGTCCTTCCCTTCACCTGAGATAATTCTTATCTACTATTTAGTTATCTAGTTTTCATATTGTTCTTCCCCCATTAACATAAACTCACTGCCCCCAAGCTTCCTATCTAAACTTTCGAGTTGCTGTTGTTAATTTGATCCCATATAGTTCTTTAAAAGAGCAAAATGTGAGCCAGATGCTTAGCAAAGGGTCACCCCATAACCTCTGAGTACCATGTCTTATGCTGTTGTTGTTAGCTGCCGTTGAGTTGGTTCCCAACTTATAGCGACCCCAAGTGACAGAGTAGAATTGCTCCATAGGGTTTTCTTGGTTATAATCTTTATGGAAGCAGATTGCCAGACCTTTCTTCTGCAGAGCTGCCGGGTGGGTTTGAACCACCAACCTTTAGGTTAGCAGCCAATTACAAGCCATTTGTGCCAGCCAGGCTCCTCAGTGTCTTATAGTCCGGTGTTTATGACATCAGAATATTGCTCTGTGGCAGATTTTAAAGTGGCCACAACCATCCATTCTTCTCTATATCCATACACTCTGCAATGTGACTCCATAGCTCATTCTGTTAAGAGGTATTTTCCCCACTCTTTAAATGACTTAGTAGGAGCCTTGGTGGCACAGTGGTTAAGCACTGGGCTGCCAACTGAAGGTTGGCAGTTTGAGCCCACCAGCTGCTCCATGAGAGAAAGATGTGGCAGTTGGCTTCCATAAAGATCACAGCCTAGGAAACTCTATGGGGCAGTTCTACTCTGTCCTATAGGGTCACTACGAGTCAGAATCGACTCAATGACAACAGAGTTTTGGTTTTGGTTTAGAATGGCTTGCTTTGGCTAATATAACACTATGGAAGCGATGCTATGTGAGTTCTGAGCCTACACCTCAGGACACCTTCTACACTTCTTTTTTTAAAAAATTGTTGTAAAAACATATATAACACAACATTTGCCAATTCACCATTTTTCAAGTGTTGCCTTATACACATTGTTCTCTCTTAAACCACTGAGACACCATGTCAGCAAGCCAAGCCAGCCAGTTAGGTGATGAGAGATGAGCATTCCAGACCCCCATCATCACCCTCAGTTGACAGCTAGCCAGCCAAAACTGCCAGACCTGACAGGGAGGTCAACCTAGATCAGCCAATTCCACAGAGAACCTTAGATTCCTCAGCACACCTAATAGAGATCAGCTATGCCTGGCCAGACCAGCAGAATCAGCCCACAATAAGAAGAACTCATTGTTTTTACACCTCTAAGTCTTGGGGAAGGAGCCCTGGTAGCACAGTGGTTACATGCACATCTGCTAATTGAAAGGTTGGCAGTTTGAACCCACAAGCTGCTCTACAGGGGAAAGATGTGGCAGTCTGCTTCCATAAAGATTACAGCCTTGGAAACCCTATGGGGCAGTTCTACTCTGTCACAGGGTGTCATTATAAGTTGTAATTGACTCAGTGGCAATGGGTGTAAGTTTTGGAGTGGTTTATTATGCAACAAGAAGTCCCTGGGTGGTGTAAATGGTTAAGTGCTCAACAACTAACTGAAAGGTTGGCAATTTGAACCCACCCAGAGGTGCCACGTCTGTCACCATGTGTCTGTCAGTTTGTCGTACTGTGGTGGCTTGCGTGTTGCTGTGATATGAAAGCTTTGCCACCAGTATTTCAAATACCAGCAGGGTCACCCTTGGTGGACAGGTTTCAGCAGAGCTTCTAGACTAAGACAGACTAGGAAAAATGACCTGGCGGTCTACTTCTGAAAAAAATAGGCCAGTGAAAATCTTATGAATAGCAGCAGAACATTGTCTGATATACTGCTGGAAGATGAGCCCCTCGGGTTGGAAGGCACTCAAAATACGACTGGGGAAGAGCTGCCTCCTCAAAGTAGAGTCGACCTTAATGATGTGGTAGAGTCAAGCTTTTGGGACCTTCATTTGCTGAGATGGCACAACTCAAAATGGGAAGTAACAGCTGCAAACATCCATTAATAATCGGAACATGGAATGTATGAAGTACAAAACTAGGAAAATTGGGAGTTGTCAAAAATGAAATGGAATACATAAAGATCAATATCCTAGGCTTCAGTGAGCTGAAATGGACTGGTATTGGCCATTTTGAATCAGTCAATCATATGGTCTACTATGCTGGGAATGACAAATTGAAGAGAAATGGCCTAGCGTTCATTGTCAAAAAGAACACTTCAAGACCTATCCTGAAGTACAATGCTGTCAGTGATAGGATAATATCCATATGCCTACAAGGAATACCAGTTAATATGACTACTATTCGAATTTATCTACCAGCCACTAAGGCCAAAGATGAGGAAACTGAAGATTTTTTACCAACTTTTGCAGTCTGAAATTGATCAAACAAGCAATCAAGATGCATTGACAATTACTGTTCAGAGGAATGTAAAAGTTGGAAATGAAGAAGGAGCAATAGTTGAAAAATATGGCCTTGGTGATAGAAATGATGCTGGAGATCGCATGATAGAATTTTGCAAGACCAATGACTTCTTCTATGGAAACCTTGGTGGCGTAGTGGTTAAGTGCTATGGCTGCTAACCAAAAGGTCAGCAGTTTGAATCCACCAGGCCCTCCTTGGAAACTCTATAGGGCAGCTCTACTCTGTCCTATAGGGTCACTATGAGTTGGAATCGACTAGACAGCAATGGGTTTGTGTTTTTTTTTTAAATGACTTCTTCATTGCAAATACCTTTTTTCAACAACATAATTAGTGACTATAAACATGGGTCTCACCACATGGAAAACAGGAATCAAATCGACTACATCTGTGGAAAGAGGTGATGGAAAAGCTCAATATTATCAGTCAGAATAAGGCCAGGGGCCAACTGTGGAACAGACCATCAATTGCTCATATGCAAATTCAAGTTGAAGCTGTAGAAAATTAAAACAAGTCCACTAGAGCCAAAATACAACCTTGAGTACATCCCACCTGAATTTAGAGATCATCTCAAGAATAGATTTGAAGCATTGAACACTAATGATGGAAGACCAGTGAGTTGTGGGAAGACATCAAGGACATGAAGAAAGCAAAAGGTCATTAAAAATACAGGAAAGAAAGAAAAGACAAAAATGGTTGTCAGAAGAGACTTGCTCTTGAATGTCAAGTAGCTAAAGTAAATGGAAGAAATGATGAAGTAAAAGAGCTGAACAGAAGATTTCAAAGGGCAGCTCTAGAAGACAAAATAAAATATTATAATTAAATGTGCAAAGCCCTGGAGTTAGAAAACCAAAAGTGAAGAACACACTCAACATTTCTCAAGCTGAAAGAACTGAAGAAAAAATTCAAGCCTTGAGTTGCAATATTGAAGGATTCTACCAGAAAAATAGCGAATGATGCAGGAAGCATCAAAATAAGATGGAAGGAATACACAGAATCACTGTACCAAAAATAATTGGTTCACTTTCAACAATTTCAGGAGGTAGCATATGATCAGGAACCGATGGTATTGAAGGAAGAAGTCCAAGCTACACTGAAGACATTGACGAAAAACAAGGCTCCAAGAATTGATGGAATATCAATTGAGATGTTTCAACAAACAGATGTAGCTCTGGAAGCACTCACTGTGTATGCCAAGAAATTTGGAAAACAGCTACCTGGCCAGCAACTGGAAGAGATGTATATCTGTACCCACTACAAAGAAACATGATCCAACCAAATGTGGAAATTGTCAAACAATATCATGTATATCACTTGTAAATAAAATTTTGCTGAAGATCATTCAAAAGCAGTTGCAGCAGAACATCGACAGGGAACCGCCAGAAATTCAAGCTGGATTCAGAAGAGGACATGAAACGAGGGATATCATTGCTGATGTCAGATGGATCTTGGCTGAAAGCACAGAATACAAGAAGCTGACCTGTGTTTTAGTGACTATGCAAAGGCATTCTACTGTGTGCATCATACCACATCATGGATATCACTGTGAAGAATGTGAATTCCAGAACATTTAATTGTGCCCATGCAGAACCTGTACATAGACCAAGAGGCAGTTGTTGAACAGAGCAAGGGCATATGCATGGATTAAAATCAAGAAAGGTGTGCATCAGGGTTGCATCCTTTCACCATACTTATTCAGATTGTATGCTGAGCAAATAATCTGAGAAGCTGGACTATATGAAGAAGAATGGGGCATCAGGATTGGTGGAAGACTCATTAACGACCTGTGATATGCAGATGACTCAACCTTGCTTGCTGAAAGTGAAGAGGACTTGAAACACTGATGAAGATCAAAGACTACAGCCTTCAGTATGGGTTACACCTCAACATAAAGAAAACAAAAATCCTCACAACTGGACCAGTAAGAAACATCATGATAAACGGAGAAAAGATTGACATTGTCAAGGGGTTCGTTTTTACAAGGATCCACAATCAACACCCATGGAAGCAGCAGTAAGGAAATCAAACGACGCGTTGCACTGGGCAAATCTGCTGCAAAAGACCTCTTTAAAGTGTTACAAAGCAAAGGTGTTACTTTGAGCACTAAGGTGTGCCTGACCCAAGCCATGGTATTTTCAGTCGCCTCATATGCATGCGAAAGATGGACAATGAATAAGGATGACCAAAGAGGAATTGATGCCTTTGAATTACAGTGTTGGTGAAGAATATTGACTATACTACGGACTGCCAGAAGAAGGAACAAGTCTGTCTTTGAAGAAATACTACAAGAGTGCTCCTTGGAAGTGCAGATGGCAAGACTTCTTCTCAGGTACTTTGGACATATTATCAGGAGGGATCAGTCCCTGGAGAAGGACTTCATGCTTGGTAAAGTAGAGGGTCAGCAAAAAAGAGGAAGACCCTTAACAAGATGGACAGACACAGTGGCAGCAACAATGAGCTCAAACATAACAACGATTGTGAGGATGGCACAGGACCAGGCAGTGTCTCATTCTATTGTACATAGGATGGCTATGAGTCAGAACCAACTCAACCGCACCTAACAACAACAGAGGTGCTGCAGAAGAAAGGCCTGGTGATCTACTTCTGAAAAACCAGCCATTGAAAACCCTATGGAGCATAGCTCTACTCTAACACACATGCGGTTGCCATGATTTGGAGATGACTCCATGGCAACTGGTTTTGTTTTGCTGTTCGGATTATGTCCAACCATTCTGTGGTTATCTTGGGAGCTGGCTGACATGTGCCCCTGAAGGAGTTTTTTTTTCTTTTCTCTGTCTCTGCACATCTGTCTTCCACCTTCCATCATCCGTAAAGACTCCACCATACCCTTGAGGATACCCACCCAAGATTCTCTAAGTGACAGTTGGGATGGGTCAGAGCTTCACACAACAGCTTCACACCCTCATCTTGTATGTCATTGTTCCCAATATCCAGATTTCTCAGGTTTGGATTGCTGGTGAGGACTGAGGCAATGTCTCGACAGCCCTCATCAGTGATGGAAACTTTTACCAAACTGCAAAAGAACAGAGATGTCGTCACTCTCAAGAATTTACTACATTTTTGTATTAGAAAAAGACTAGATCCCTAGGTGGTGCTCTCAACTACTAACCTAAACGCTGGCAATCTGAACCCACCCAGCAGTACTGTGGAAGAAAGGCCTGATGACCTGCTTCTGTAAAGATTACAGCCAAGAAAACCCTATGGAGCAGTTCTACTCTAACGCGTAGGGTTGCCGTGGGTCAGAACCGATTCAATGGCAACTGGCTTGGTTTGGTTCGGTTAAGCATAAATAGCTAACCTGAAGATACTGTTCACTTTCCTTTTCCATTATTTCAGCTCTGCAATGCTCATAGTGTAGGAAATATGCTATGTGCCAATCTCCACCACCAGACAGCCACAAGATATCCTCTGATGTGTAACGATGCTGACCTTATCATCATCAACCTTAACCCATTTGTCTTGTTTCTTTTCACTCATAATACTTAATGCCTGAAGAACTAGACCTCTGATATGTTAGCTCTGCTTGTCAATCATAGTATCCACAGTTACTGGAGCTATCTTATGAAATTTCCTAATGCATTAGGTAAAATAATTCTGCCTAATCCTACATGTCTCTGGATTTCTCAGGGAAAGAGACATTTGATAATGAAGTGCTATCCCAGTTGGTAACTAAAAAAAAAAGTTCCCCAAATATTTCTCAATTTTATATCATGAAATTAAGTCTTTTCATTATCTTCCCTTTTCCCCCCATTACTCTTACCCCCCTTATTCCTTTTTGAAGGATCTGTTGTTTTTCCACATTGATTCCCACATAGATTATTGTTCTCCTATTCCCTTATTCATGTCCTAGAATGCATGCCAAACATCCTGTTATCCATAAAACTTTCTCTCAGTCCCACCAAACCAAACCCACTGCTGTCGAGTCGATTCCAACTCATAGCAACCCTAAAGGACAGAGTAGAATTGCCCTCCTCTGCCCCAAGTCATAAAAATTCCTCTCTTTCTCTCTTAATCCTTTATGCATACCCAACTGAACGGCCATTTTGTTGTTGTTGTTAGTTGCCATTTAGTTGGCTCCAACTCATGGCGACCTTATGTACAACAGAACAAAACCTTGACCAGTCATGTGCCATCTTTGTGATCATTGGTATGTTTGAGTCCATTGTTGTAGCTATTGTGTCAATCCATCTCATGAAGGTTTCCCTCTTTTTGCTGACCCTCTATTTTACCAGTCCACGATCTCCTTTTCTAGTGATTGGTCTTTCCTGATAATGTTTGTTGTTGTTGCCGATATGTGCCATTGAGTCGATTCTGACTAATAGCAATACCATGTGACAGAGTAGAACTGCCCCATAGGGTTTTCTATGCTGTAATCTTTATGGGAGCAGATCTCCAGGTCTTTCTCCCGTGGATCCACTGGGTTGGTTGGCACTGCCAACCTTTTGGTTAGCAGCCAAGTGCTTAACGGTTGTGCCACCAGGGCTCCTTTTACAACATATTAAGTCTGTGACACCGAAGTCAAGGTACAGATTCGTTCACCTGAACATCTCCACAAGACCCCAAGTCAAGCATTTTTTTAATCTTCATGTTCCAAGGCACAGACACTATGTCCTTCATCAAACCCAAGTGTCTTCTCAGCAACCCAAGCCCTTGAAAAAGAGGCTTGGGCTTCAAAGGAAACCTACCACAGCGACTGTAGGCAGCAGTTTGGGTGTTTCAAGGCCGCACAGAGGAGTTCCAAGTCATCATCCTTCAGGACATTACCACCAAGATCTAGGTGGATCAGGCTTCTGTTACACACAAGAACTTCACAGAGGCTATCCCAGCATGGTTCACTGAGGTAACAGTAAACTAACCTGTGAGGACAAATATATGTGAGAAAAGGAGGGGGAAGGAAGAAGAAAGGATACCTCAGACAGCTTTTTAAAGTTAACCCCACATATGAAAGGTAATATTTCTATTCTTTTATATATATAATACTCACATACTCATTGCCGTCCTTTCCATTCTGACTCATAGGGACCTATAGGACAGAGTAGAACTGTCCCACAGGGTTTCCAAGGTTGCAATCTTTACAGAAGCAGACTGCTGCATCTTTCTCCTGAGGAGCAGCTGGTGGGTTCAAACTGCTGACCTTTCAGTTAGCAGCTGCGCGCTTAACCACCATGACACCAGGGTGCCTTAAAATCCTCATATAAGTATACAAAATATCTCCCTTCCTTTCTTCTTACTTACAGGATAGGGGGATTAGAAAGTAAAACTGGCAAAGTCATGCAGAAGGAAGAATACGGCATAATATGGCACAGCTAACACTCTAAAGGAGTCCCTGGGTGGTGCAAACGATTAATGCACTTAGCTGCTAACAAAAAGTTTGGAGGTTTGCATCCACACAGAGATGCCTCAGAAGAAAGGCCAGGTGATGTACTTCTGAAAAATCAGTCATTGAAAAACTCTATGGAGCACAGTTCTACTCTAACACACATGGGGGTACCATGAGTCGAACTCAACTTGGTAGCAAATGGTGGTACAACACTCTAGAAGGACTTAGAAAATCTGCTTTGTCTCTATAGATTAGTTTAAATTTTATCACATAGTATGTACTTTTTTTGTAGATTACATTGGATTTTCCACACCGTTGATCATATTGTCTAAGAATAAAGACAGTTTTAACTTCCTTCTTCTCAATCTGGATGTCTTTTATTTCTTTTCCTTGCGTTATTGCACTGGCGTGGACATTCAGTGCAATAAATGGCAGTGGTGAGAGTGGACATCCTTGTCTTGTTCTTGGTCTTAGAGGGAAAGCTCTCACTCTTCCACCATTAAGAATGATGCCGTTGTTTTTGTTAGGTGCCATGAAGTCGGTTCCAACTCACTGCCCGGTCCTGCACCATCCTCATAATCATGGCAATGTTTGAGCCCACTGTTGCAGCCATTGTGTCAATCCATCTCTTTGAGGGTCTTCTTTTTTTTTTTTTCTTTTCTCATTTTTACTTTTTTTTTTATCATTGCACTTTAGATGAAGTTTTACAGAACAAACTAGCTTCTCATTAAACAGTTAGTACACATATTGTTTTGTGACATTGGTTACCAACCCCATGACATGTCAACACTCTCCCCTGCTCCACCTTCAGTTCCCTGTTACCAGCTTTTCTGTTCCCTGTTGCCTTCTAGTCTTTGCCCCTGGGGTGGTGTGCCCCTTTAGCGAAGATCTTCCTCTTTTTTGCTGACCCTCTACTTTACCAAGCATGATGTCCTTTTCCAGGGACTGGTTCCTGCTGATAACATGTCCAAAATATGTGAGATGAAGTCTCGCCATCCTCTCTTCTAAGGAACATTCTGGCTGTACCTCTTCCAAAACAGATTTGTTCATTTTTCTGTCAGTCCATAGTATGTTCAATATTCTTCACTAACACCATAATTCAAATGCCTCAGTTCTTGTTCAGTTTTCCTTATTCATTATCCAGCTTTCGCATGCATATGAGGCAATCGAAAATACCATGGCTTGGGTCAGGCCCACCTTAGTCCTCAAGGTGACAATATGCTAGCTGTAGGTCTTTCACAGAGGCCTTTTATCAGGCTGTGGAATTCATCTTTTCTTAGTTTGCTGAATGTTTGTGTGCGTGTGTGTGTGTGTGTGTGTGTGTGTGCTTATCAGGACTGGCTGTTAGCTTTGGGCAGATGTTTTTTTCTGTGTCTATTAGGTGATCGTAACGTTCTTCTTTTATATATTGTTAATATGGTGAATTACACTGACTTATTTTAGATTGTTAGCTTTAAATTCTTGGTATAAGCCCTACTTATTCATGATGTGTTTTCCTTTTTACGTGCTGTTAGATTAAAGGAACCCAGGCTGCACAATGGTTAAACGCTTGGCTGCTAACCAAAAGGTTGGCGTTTCAAACTCACCCAGTGGCTCTGTAGGAGAAAGACCTAGTGATCTGCTCCCATAAAGATTACAGCCTAGAAAACCCTATAGGGCAGTTCAACACTGTCACACTGGGTTACTATCAGTCAAAAATCGTCTCGATGGCACCTAACAACAAGAGTAGATTTGCTAACATTAGTTTAGAATTTTTGCATATATGTTCATGAGGGAAATTAGTCTATAATTTTCTTTCCTGAATATCTTTGTCTCTTTCTGGTATTAGGGTAATGCTGGGCTCATAGAATTATTTGGGAAGTATTCTCTTGTATTTAATTTTCTAGAAAAGTTTGCACAGAAGTGGTATTGTTTTTTTCTCAAATGTTGGGTAGACTTCACCAGTGAAGTCTTCTGGATTTGGGGTTCTCTGTGAGAACCTTTTTAAATACAATTCAATTTCTTTAGTAGATACAGTGTTGCCAAGTTATCTACTTCTTCTTGAGGTTTTTTACTGTTTTTTTTTTTTTTTTTTTTTTTACGGTAGTAAATATCCTAACATTCCCTTATAACCTTTTCAATATCTGTATAATATGGTGTAGAAATAAAAATTTGCTCTTAAATTGATTTTGTCTCATGTTAATATAGTCAGTCCAACTTTCTTCTGATTAGTTTTAGCATGATACATCTTTTTCTACCCTTTTATTTTTCCATCTTTTTACTTTTATTATATCTTTACATTTAAAGTGCATTTCTTATAAGTAACATATAGTTGGGTCTTGATTTCTTGAGTCTGACAATCTCTGACTTTTGGCTATGATGGTTGGACCATTTAATGTGATTATTGATATGGTTAGGATTAAGTCTACCTTGTTGCTATTTGTTTTCTGTTGGACCCATCCCTTCTTTGTTCATTTTTTCTGCCTTCTTTTGTGTTGAGAATTTTTTATGATTCCATTTTATCTCTTTTGTTGGCCAATTAGCTATAACTCTTTATTTCACTATTATAATGGATGATTTATGGTTTGCAATATGCACTTAACTTATCACAGTCTATCTTCAAGTGACATTATGCCATTTCACATATAGTATAAGAAGCTTAAGATTGTATATTTCCATTTTCCCGTCTCCTGGACTTTGAGCTATTGTCAGGCATTTTACTTTTACCTACGTCAGAAATCCCACAATACAGTGCTATAATTTTTGTTTAAACCAGGGGTTGGCAAGCTGCTTCTGTAAAGGGCTGGGTAGTAATTTTGGCTTTGTAGTCCATAAGGTCTCTGTTGCATGTGTCCTCTAAATTCCCTAATTTACTATCAGGATACCCTTACTTTCATGTAGTTCAAATTAAAAAAAGAAAAAAAATCCAAAAGCATAAACAGAGAAAAGCCTCCCTTCCACACTATCTCCCATCCTTCCAGTTCCATATTTCACAGGCAATCTTTCTTATAATTCTTACATCTCCTCCAGGGGATATCTGTGTATATAAAAACACTGTTGTTGTTAGGTACCATCAAGTAGATCTGAACTCATGGTGACCCCATGTGATGGAGTAGAACTACCCCATAGGGTTTACTAGGCTGTAATCTTTATGAGAGAAGCCCTGGTTGTGTAATAGTAAAACACTCAGCTGCTAACCGAAAGGTCAGTAATTAGAACTCACCAGCAGCTCCACAGGAGATAAGACCTAGCAATCTGCTCCTGTAAATGTTACAGTTTAGGAAACCCTACGGGGCAGTTCTACTCTGTCACACGGTGTCGCTATGAGTTAGTATCAACTCAACGGCACATCACACAACAACAGCAATCTTTATGGGCCCAGATTACCAGGTCTTTCTCCTGCAGAGCTGCTAGGTGGGTTTAAACCACCAACCTTTAAGTTAGCAGCCGAGCACTTAACTGTTGTACCACCAGGGCTTTTTACACAAAAAAGCAAACATACACAAATGTGTTTATATTCCTCCCCCCTTCAAAGGGGCCCTTTTGTATACAAGCTAAGTATTAGCATGAACCGAATATGTAAGCAGAATTGTATTAATAGCTAACCAACTGACCTTGTAACACATTACTCTATCCTTCTCTGTACCCTAAAATTTGTTTCTAGGCTAACCTATTCATTTATCTTATTACTTCAAGGTAGCACAAAACCCAAACCAAACCTGTTGCTGTAGAGTCAATTCTGACTCATAGCGACTCTATAGGACAGAGTAGAACTGTCCATAGGGTTTCCAAGGTTGTAATATTTACAGAAGCTGACTACCATATCTTTCTCCTGCAGAGCCACTGGTGGATTTGAACGACCAACTTTTCAGTTAACAGCCAAGCACTTAACCTCTGCACCACCAGCACTCCTTCAACAAGAGTAGCACACTCAGCATTATATGAGGTCAACAGGCCCCATGGGTTATCTTACTCTTCTGCTGTTCTTAGCAACTACTCTACGGCTGAGAGCCCACTTTACCTATTAGCAACAGGTAAAAGCTATTGAAGGAGCCCTGGTGGTGCAACGGTTAAGAGCTCGACTACTAACCGAAAGGTCAGCCTTTCAAACCTACCCAGAGGCTCTGTGGGAGAAAATACCTGGCGATCTGTTCCCATAAAGGTGGTTGTTATTGTGTGCTATGGAGTTGATTCTGACTCAGCAACCCTATAAGATAGAGTTTGCTAGGCTGTAATCTTTATGGAGAGCCCCGGTGTCTCAGTGGTTAAGAGCTTGGCTGCTAACCAAAAGGTCGGCAGTTTGAATCCACCAGCCACTCCTTGGAAGCCCTATAGGGCAGTTCTACCCTGTCCTATAGGGTTGCTGTGAGTCAGAATTGACTCGACAGCAACAGGTGTGGCTTGGGCTAATTTTTACGGAAGCAGATCTCCAGGTCCATGTAAAGATTACAGCTTAGAACACCTTACGGGGGCAGTTCTGCTCCGTCACATGGGGCCGCTATGTGTGCGAACTGACTCAACGGCACCCAACAACAACAGTTACTAACACAGGAAGCACCTGTGTGTATGTTGTAGGATTTTAATCCAATCTAACATCTTTTGAAATTTAGCATGTACTCTGTATGCAAACTGTTAATTTTCATAAGACCTCTAGGGCAGGAGTTTCCCTCTTCCCTCTGTTATGAGCAAAGTGAAGCTGAGAGAGGTTAAGTCTTTGCTCACGGTGGTAAATCCAGGACTGGAACCCAAGTTTGGTTGATTCTTAACCTTATGCTTTAAAACTGCTATGTTGCCTCCACCAATGGATGGATTTGAGTCAACAGGTTAAAGTTCAACCTGCTGCCATTCTTCCCCACAGTGGACCCCCCTACTGTTCGCTTACACCAAGGCCTCCAGCACGCAGTCTAGGTGGCACAGAGCATCACACAGCAGGCTCACTCCTTGGTCCAGGTAATTGTGTGCTACATTAAGGTACTTCAGCTTCTTGTTGCTTTTTAGAACTGAGGCGAAGGCTTCACAATCACCTGCTGAGAGGAGGCAATTTGCCAGCCTATAGAGAGAGAACATGTCACATTCCACTTGGTTGTAGTTCCCTGACTCTTTACTTTTGCTGATCCTATAAGAAGACTGAAAGGTTGGCAGTTTGACCCTACCCAGCAACTTTGTGGGAGAAAGGCCTGGCAATTTATTTCTGAAAGATCACAGCCATTGAAAACCCTATGGGGCACAGTTCTGCTGTGACACGCGTGGGGTTGCCATGAGTCGGAATTGACTTGACAGCACCCAACAACAACAACAACGATGTAAGAATCAGGGAGCACACATTTGCCCTGTGTGGGAACTTCACTGAGCCCCCTGCCTCTCTTCCTGATCCCCACGAGTCCATTCTCTATACTAAGACGAGAGACAACATGAGACACATACAAACCCATATAGCCATAAAACCAAGAAAACCATTTTCCACTGAGTTAGTTTCAACTCATGGTGACCCCCTGTGTGTCAGAGTAGAACTGCACTCCATAGGGTTTTCAAGGCTGTGAGCTTTCAGAAGTAGATCACCAGGCCAGACTTCCGAGGCACCTCTGGGTGAATTAGAACCGTCAACCTTTTGGTTAGTAGTCCAGTGCTTAACTGTTGGCACTACCCAGGGAGTCCATTTATATCCATACTTGCCTTAAACCCCAATAACTGCTCATAATACTTAGGGAAAAGCACAAAAACACATCACATTTTCTACAAGGCACCTGCCTGTCCCTATGTCCCTGTGTCCCAGCCATACGAGTCATTTCCAGTGGCTTGACCACACGGGGTTTTATTCCTCACAGTATCCACTTGTGCTTGCTGTTCCTCAAATGCATCTCCCTGATGTCTTTACCTGAGGATCTTTGTGAAGGAGTCCTGGTGGTGCAGTTGTTAAGCACTCGTCTGCTACCCAGATGGTTGGTGGTTTGGATGCACCAGCGACTCCAAGGGAGAGAAAAGACCTGGCGAACTGCTCTCGTAAAGACTTCAGTCTTGGAAATCCTATGGGGCAATTCTACTCTGTCTTATAGGGTTGCTATGAGTCAGAATCAACTCAACAGCAATGAGTTTGGTTTTTTTGACTTGGGGACCCAAGGTACAAGGTGTTTGTGCTAGGCTGCTAACCTAAAGGTTGGTGTTTAGAACCCACAAAATGGTGCCACAGAAGAAAGGCCTGGTGGTCTGCTTCCGTAAAGATTTGTTGTTGTGTGCCATGGTGTCAATTCTGATTCAAAGCAACCCCGTGTGACAGAGTAGAACTGCCTCATAGGGTTTTCTAGGCTGTAATCTTTATGGGAGCAGATCACCAGGTCTTTTCTCCAGTGGAGAGGCTGGTGGGTTTGAACTGCTAACCTTTTGATTAGCAGCCAAGCACTTGACCATCATGCCGCCAGGGCTCCTTCCATAAAGATTACAGCCAGGAAAATCCTATGGGTTACGTGAGTTGGAATTGACTCAACGAACCCCACAACAATGACAGGGTCTTTGTGTGTGTTCACTCAGAGTGGAACACCCTTTCCCTGACCTTTGGTTAGACGAACCCTCATCCAGGTCTCTGCGCAAGTAGCACTTTCTCAGAGAACATTCCAGAAACAAAGCCTTGGACTGTGGACCAACAGGTTCAGTATTTAGGGGCTTGCTTGAGTTAGTTTGGGTTGCCAGCAACTGTAGGTTTCTATTACCTCAACCACTCTCTTTACCCCTGGCTGCCATGGAAAGTATAAACTAGGGTTGGAGACAATAAATGAAGATATAAACAATTAGAACAGTTGTCAAGAAATGAAAGTGTAATTGGCAAGTCGCCCACTCCGTGGCTCCAAGCATCTTCTCTCCGGGATTACTCTGAGGGAATGCATGGCTTTAAAGCTGTTTCAGGCTTTAGGATTTTGAAATTATTTTCAAGGAATAAAAATAGAGTTTGGCTTACTGTACAATACGGACAAAAATTAAGTAAAAATGGGTCACAGTCCTAAATATAAGAGCTAAACCTTTAAAAATTAAGAAGAAAATATAGGAGTAAATCTTCATGATGTTGGGTTAAGCAATGGTTTCTAAGATACAGGAAAAACGTGTGAAAGCCAGAACCCAAGTAAGGCAGAAATCTGTCAGAGAAGGAAAACTCACTAGGTGTTTATGAGGTAGGATTCTTAATAGAAAATGATAGAGAAGTGGTAAGACCCTGTCAAGGTGGAAAACTTGTGAGACCCGGAAAAACAAGGCAGTCCTGTAGAGTTCTGGCTCTCACAGATTTCACTATATAACAGCAAAAGCATGAGAGACCAAAAAATATAAATAAATGGCACTTCATCAAAATTAAAAACTTCTGTGCATCAAAGAACTTTAATCAACAAAGTAAAGAGAAAACCTACAGAATGGGAGAAAAATATCTTGGAACAACATATCTGATAGGAAATTTGTATCCAGAATGTATAAAGAACTCTTACAATTCAACAACCAAAAGACAAAACAACCTGATTAAAAAATAGGCCAAGGACTTGAATAGTTATTTCTCCAAAGTCATACAAATGGCCAAGAGACACATGAAAAGATGCTCGATATTACTAGTCATTCAAGAATACAAATCAAAATCATGAGATACCATTTCATACCCACTAGGATGGCTATTATTAAAACAACAACAACAAAACCCGGAAAATAACAAGTGTTGGCGAGGATGTAGAGAAATTGGAATTCTCATAGATTGCCGATGGAAATGTAAAATGGTGCAGCTGTTGTGGAAAACAGTTTGGTGGTTCTTCTAAAAGTTAAACATAGAATTACCATATGATGCAACAATTCCACTCTTAGGTATATACTTAAAAGAACTGAAAATAGGTATTCAAATATCAATGTTAACAGCAGCATTATTCACAATAGCCAAAAGGTGGAAATAACCTGACTGCTCATCAACTGATAAATGGATAAATGAAATATGGTATATATATACAATGGAATACTGTTCATTAATAAAAAGTAATGAATTACTGATACATGATTCTTGTTGCTGTTGGGTGCCATCAAGTCGATTCCGACCCTTAGTGACTTCATGTGACAGAGTAGAACTGCCACATAGGGTTTCCATGGCTGTAATCTTTATGGAGGCAGACTGCCACATCTTCCTTCCATGGAGTGGCTGGTGGATTTGAACTGCCAATCTTCTGGTTAGCAGTCAAACACTTAACCAGTGGTTCACTAGGACTCCTTACTGATACATGCTACAACATGGATACACTTCAAAACATTATGTTTCAATTTTTCAGGTGTTATAAATAAAGCTGCCATGAATGTTTTAGTACCTGTCTTTCAGTAAACTTGGAGTTGCAAATGGTTAACGCTCAGCTAGTAACTGAAAGATTAGTGGTTTGAGTCCACCCATAGGTGCCTGGAATAAAGGTCTGGAGATCTACTTCCAAAAAATCAGCCATTGAAAACCCTATGGAGCACAGTTCTGCACTGACACACATGGGGTCTCCATGCGCCGGAGTCGACTCCACAGCAACTGATGTGGGTTTTGGTTTTCAGTAAACTTAAATATATAATTCTGTTCAGTATACACCTAAGAGTAAAATGTCTGGGCTATACGATATGCTAGTATCTATGAAAGCTGAATATAGGCAAACAGTTTTCCAAAGTGGTTGTACCAACTTAGGAATCTTTACTTCAGTATTCTATCTTCAAGTTCCCAGGATGCCTGCAGAGGTTAATTTTGAGTATGAGGAATAGAAAAGAAGAGGAAAGTGAACCTACTTAAAAATTCACAATCCTCTCTGGAATCCAATCCGTGAGTCTGGTGAACAAGGAGACTTACGTGAGATCTTCTATGTTGCACAGTGGATAGTTCAAAGCCTCACAGAGCAACCTCACATCATTACGGTAGAGTCTTGTACTGCTGAGATCCAAGCATTTCAAGTATGGGTTATGAATGAACACCTCAAAGAAAAGCCAGCTCTCACCAGAGAAGGAAACATTATTTATCCTGCAAAAACAAAGACATTTTTGGATGAGTCTCATCCAATGAAGCCTGGGAGAATAGCCTGAAAAACTTGTGTTTGATTGTCTCCTATACCCAACGATTAACTGATACTTCAGTTTCACAACCCAAACGTATAGCTCAGTGCTTCTCAGCCTGGGCGATTTTGCCTTCCCAGGGGACTGTATTCAAGTGCCTGGCAAATGTTGTCATTGTTAGTTGTCATTTAGTCAACTCCAACTCAAGGCAACCCCATGTGTACAGAACAGAACAGTGCTCCATAGAGTTTTCAAAGTCTAATTTTGTGGAAGCAGATCATCAGGCCTTTCTCTTGAGGCATCTTTGGGTGGATTTGAACTCCCAACCTTTTGGTTAGTAAACAAACAAACCAACAAACCAAATTCGTTGCTTTCAAGTCAATTCTGACTCTTAGCGACCCTATAGGACAGAGTAGAACTGCCTCATAGGGTTTCCAAGAAGCGGCTGGTGGATTCGAACTGCAGACCTTTTGGTTAGCAGCTGAGCTGTTAACCACTGTGCTACCAGGGCTGCTTTGGTTAGTAGTTGAGCGCTTAACCATTTGTGCCACCCAGGGACTCCCACCTGGCAAACGGTTGGTGCTAATTAATGTCATTAATAACTGTTGAAGGAGTGAGTGAATATTTGAGAAAACATGGGGTTTACTACCCTTCCTGCCTTCTTTTCATCTTGGCAGTAACACTGGCTCTATCCCCATCGACCTCTAAGAATGGCTACCTAGAGGGGCAACTCCCTCCCACATGCTCCACTGAATTCAGTTCACACATCACTATTACAAATTGCTCCAGACCAGTGGTTCTCAACTGGGGCAAATTTGTCCCAAGGGAATATTTGGCAATGTCTGGAGACATTTTTGGTTGTCATAACAGGAGGAGGTTCCTAGTAGCATCTGGTGGGTAGAGGCCAGGGATGCTGCTAAGTGAGCATCCTACAGTGCACAGGATGGCCTCCATAACAAAGACTTAATAATTCTGAGTCTGAGAAAACTTGCTCTAGATTATAATTCTTTGATAGCCGTTGGCCTTACCTGAAAGCTAAGACTAATCTGTTATTTCTGCGATACACTCAAGTCTAGGTTGATCTCCAACTTACTCAAGCTTTTGAAGGTGACAATTTGGATGCCTCAGCTCTTTACACAAAGCCCCAAAGGCTGATTCATCGAGGACACTGTTGTGTACTTGTAGTTCTCTGAGGTGTACATTTGTGGTGAGCACAGAACAAATGTAATGCCAACGGACGAGATTGTAACTTGACCTACAAAGAAAGAGAAAGGAAATGCTTTTCATGGGTAAATATTCAACTCAAGCCATTCCCAGTATATAAAACCAAAAAACCAAACCCGTTGCCACCAGGTTGATTCCAACTGATGGTGACCCCATCTGTTACAGAGTAGAACTGTGCTCCTTAGGGTTTTCTTGGCTGTAATCTTTATGGAAGCAGATCACCAGGCCTTTCTTCTGCGGTGCTGCTGGGTGGGTTAGAACCTCCAATCTTTAGGTTAGTAGTCAAGTGCAAACCATTTGTGCCACCCAGGGACCTATTCCCAGTATATAGGCATAATAAATTATCTTCCTGAAAACAAAACATCTGAATGTTAAATGAGTTAAAATTTGTAAGAATCTTAAAATAAAATTTAAAAGGTAATTTCTGGTTGTGAGGTCAAGAAAGAGTCTGAGTGTGCTATCAATACGAATGATACAAGTATTAATTATAAATACATATCAGCTAACATTTGAGAAGGGATCCCTGGTGGCACAACTTTTAAGTGCTCAGCCGCTAATCAGAAGGTCAGCAGTTAGAACCCACCCAGTGGTTCTGCGGGAGAAAAACCTGGCAAGCTGTTTCTGTAAAGATTAAGCCTACAAAACCCTATGGGGAAGTGCTACTCTGTCACATGGGGTCACTATGAGTTGGAATCAACTCCAGGGTACCCAGCAATAATAACAATATTTGAGAAATATAGGAAACACACTTCACATGGATTCTTACATTATATCATGATGTGGTAGTGACTATTATTGCCCCTTCTATAATGAGGCAACTATAGCAAGAAAGTTCAAGTCTCCTGGAAAATGTCATACATGCCATAAAGAGTCAAGTTAGGACTTGAACACATAAGGTCAGATCCTACCCATGATAAATATTAGCCACCCCATCAGCAAAACCTACTTGTGAACACAGACATATGCTAAAAAGGGGCTAGGAAGAAAGTCATTAGATGGACTCACGTAGAGCTGTCTCCATTCTCCTCCTTGAAGACGTTTCGGACGGAAAAAGAAATTTTCCTCAAGCCAGAACAGTGTTTTAGGCAGTAGGCAGAAACCATCAAGTCTACATTGTCAGTGACAGAGAAGTGAACTTCTTGAAAGCAGTCCAATGCCTTCGTCACAAAGACTTTATCCTGCATCTCAAACAGACAGTAAAATAACAAGAAATCCACCTCTCCCTCCAGATGTTCACACTCACCTAAACTCTTCAGGCACTGGTGGAATTGCTGCTTTACCTCCAGGGACAGTTGTAAGTCAAAGAAAGCATCCAGCCTTTTTTCTTCCTCTGCATTTAAAAGACCAAACACAAAACACCCCCCCAAAATCCAATGCACGTTTTCTCTCTTTAGGTAGGTCAATAGCAGCGCCTTTGAGCATCCAACGGCTGGATTGGGGTGATTGCCGGAGCTCTTTAGCAAATAAAACATGGCGGCACAGAACTCCTGGATGCACACATGGATGAATGTGTACGAGTTCTCATACCCCCTGCACTTCTGAAGAAGCTTCATGTCCAGCAATGCAGGGATATCACTTTCAACTAACCCATTTCTCCTGAAGTCCTCTTCACTGAACTGGAATGTGTCCGTCCACATGCCCTCCACAGCCAGGGAGCACAGACCCTTCAACTGGACATGGATCTGCTCATGTGGACGTGTGGCACCCTTGGGTGTGAACATGTTAAAGATGAAAGAGGCAAACAGAGAAGTGGTACGGTGGCAGGCAAGTGCCAGGTCTCTGCCCCTCTCCATCTCCTGCTTCAGACAGGTGCACACAACCCAGCAAAGGATGGGGATTTGGCACATGTGAAAGAGCTGTTCATTTTCTCTTACAAAACTGAAGGCCTCCATGGCTTGCTTCTTGTCTTGAAAGACACAGGAGAAGTACAGCTTCCTGTCGCTTTCATTAAGTCCCATGATCGTTTTAATTTCTGGGTGCTCCAGCTGAGCCTCGAGTTCCTGCTGGTAGTTGGGTGTAGTGGCAATGAGCAGTGAGGCCTCTGGGAGCATCTTCTTCCTCAGCAAACTGCCCAGGACCACTTCTCCTGGCTGCTGCTGCAACCAGTCACTGCACAGGTCTGACTCCGGTTCTTTCAAGGCACACGTCAGCTCCTCAAAGCTGTCGATGATGAACAACAGTCTCTCTGGCTGGGACAGGATCTCTGCTATTGGCACAGGGGGGTTGGGCCAGTCTCCAGAAATCAACTCAGCCAAGCTTGTCAGCGCCAACCGCTTCACCTCCCAGCAGCAAAAGTAGAAAATGTACAAGAACCTATCCTGATAAAAGATACCCTCTGCCCAGGCCAACATTAGCTTGACCAGGAACGTCGTCTTCCCAATTTTTGGGGTTCCCACAAGGACCACAGTACGTGATGGCTCTTCTCCAGTTGCCTTAGGCTCAAAAAGGAGTTCCATACGTTCACGTTTCTTCTGTATGACTACTTCCTGCTCAAAGTAATCATGAATCCTAGTGAGGGATTCTCTCGACCATATATTGCTGAATTTCTTCTTTACATGAGCTTGATACATCCTTATATACCCTGAGTCAATGAGGACAAGAGGAAAAAAATACATATCAAAGTTAAACACTCATACTCTTTGACCCTGAAATTTTACTTCTCAGAGTGTATCTTCTCAACCCAAACCAACCTGTTGCCTTCAAGTCAATTCAGACTCATAACAACCCTATAGAACAGAGCCCTGGTTAAGAGTGGTTAAGGTGCAGTGGTTAAGAGCTTAGCTGCTAACCAAAAGGTTGGCAGTTTGAATCCACCAGCCGCTCCTTGGAAACCCTATGGGGCAGTTCTACTCTGTCCTACAGTGCCGCTAAGACTCAGAATTGACTCGACAGCAATGGATTTGGTTTGGTTTTTGGTTAATCTTTACAGAAGCTGACTGTCACATCTTTCTCCCATGGAGCAGCTGGTGGGTTCAAATCGCTGACCTTTCAGTTAGCAGCTGAGTGCTTAACTATTGTTCCAGGCTCCTTTATCTTCTCAAACTGTGACCATGGGCCAAGGCTGGTTGACAGCCTGGTTTTGTAAATAAAGTTTCATTGGAACATAGACATTCATTTATGTGTTGTCTATAGTTGCTTTGCCATTACAATGGCAGAGTTGAGTAATTGCAACAGAGTCTAAAATATAAATTCTCTGGCCCTCCACAGAAAAAGTTTACCAATCCCTGCTCTAGATACCCACACAGGAAAACACACACACATAAACACACACACACACACACACACACACACACACACACAGATATTCATTGCTGATATAGAATGGAAAAGGACTGTATGACTACAAATAGAAGACCAGCTAAATAATTTATGGAATGATGGAATCTTTTACAGGTATTAAAAGTATGGAATGGTCTCTTTATGTGGAAGCAGAACAAGATAGTGTCTATAGTATGTACCCACTTGTGTGTGGAAAATAGATTAGACAGTACCTATCAGAAAGATGACATATGAAGGACCTGTTGTTTTGTTGTTGTTGTTGATAATATACATAGCAGAACATACATCAATTCAACAGTTTCTACATGTACAATTCAATGACACTGATTACATTCTTTGAGTTGTACAACCATTCTCACCTCCTTTTCTGAGTTGTTCCTCCCCCATTAACATAAACTCATGCCTCCCTAAGGTTCCTGTCTAATCTTCTGAGTTGCTGTTGTCAATTCGATCCCATATAGATAGATCTTAAAAGAATGCAGGGCTCAAGGCAGACTTTTTTACTAGTTAAGTTAAACTGCTGTTTGGTTTTAAGAAGACTTCAGGTGATATTTTTGGTTTAAGGTTTAAAGATGATCTCAGAGCAATAGTTTCAGGGGTTCATCCAGCCTCAATGGTTCCAGAAAGTCTAGATTCCATGAAAATTTTAAATTCTGTTCTGCTTTCTCACCCTTTTGATCAGGATTATTCTACAGAATCTCTGATCAAAATGTTCGGTAATGGTAGCTGGGCACTCTCCAGTTCTGATCTCATAGCAAAGGAGGCAGCTGTTCATGGAGGCAATTAGCCACACATTCCCTTTCCTCCTCCTATTGCTGACTCTCAGAAGGAACTGTTTTGAATAGACAATTATACCAATTAACCCCTAATTCAGTGTATAATCTATGGTAAATGTTAATTTTTATTTCTAGGCCCTTCTCAAATGTCTGTTAAGATAATGGGCCAGATCCACAGTTCGTATGGCACCACTTCGCCTTAGAGAGAGGTTCTGACTTGGATGCAAGTTCTCAGCTTAGGGAAAATTATTGATACCATAGAGATGGAGGTACAATACAGGTTAGGACATGCTACAAAACAAAACAAAAAAACCAAACCAGTTGCCCTCGAGTCTATTCCGACTTATGGCAACCCCGTATGTGTCAGAGTAGATCTGCACTCCATAGGATTTTCAATGACTGTGATCTTTCAGAAGTAGTTTGCCAAGCTTTATTCTAAGACTCCTCGAGATGGATTTGAACTTTCAACCTTTTGGTTAGTTGCTGAGTGCTTAACCATTTGCACCACCCAGGGACTCCATAGGACATGCCATCCACCCACATTTTATCACACATAATCACCACATCTAAATTAAACGGTTTCCTACCTACAAGGATGAAATTGTTCCCTAGTACATCTGGCCCTGCTGTAGACGGGCATAGATGGGGGAATCTATCACGATTATGACACAATCCTCATTATAGGAAGCCTTGTCTCCAACCCCCAGACTCACTCACCAGTACTTTCCCTTTTGGCCTTTATATGGAGATCCTTTCTACCAATCTTGTGAAAGATCCTGTAGGTCACATCCCATGCTTGCTGTTCCTGATAATGCTTGATCAGTAGGTTTGCAAGATCTTCCCGAGTTGCTCTCTTTACTTCAGCCCAGGGAATTCGCTCCAGTCCAAGTTGCAAAGGCTCTTGCCTAAGGAGCTCCTTAAATCTTCTGAACTCCTCCTTTTTGAGCTCGTCCAGATACCACATAAGGCCAAAATCAGAGAAGAAAGATGATGCCATCTTGTTCTAGGGCAGAGATGTCAATGTTCAGAGAAAGAATTATGGGGAGGAAGGAATAAACAGAACCTATGGAAAGTTAATACAATTTAGGAATTAAAATTTAGGTAAGTACCAAGTAATTCAAGGAGCCCTGATGGCCACCACAGTTAAGTGCCTGGCTGCTAACTGAAAGATCAGCAGTTCCAACCCATCCAGCGGTTCCACAGGAGAAAGGACCTGGTGATCTGCTTCCATAAATATTCCCATTCCCATGGAGTCAATTCCCACTCACAGTGATCCTATAGGACAGAGTAGAATTGCCCCATAGGGCTTCCAAGACTGTAATCTTTACGGAAGCAGACTGCCACATCTTTCTCCTGTGGAGCGGCTGGTAGGTTTGAACTGCTGACCATAAAGATTACCGTCTAGGAACCCTATTCGAACCTACCAGCCACTCCACAGGAGAAAGATGTGGCAGTCTGCTTCCATAAAGACTACAGCCTTGGAAGCCATATGGGCAGCTCTACTCTGTCCTATAGGGTCGCTATGAGTCGGAATTGACAGCAAACAACAAGTAAAAGAAACCAGTCTGAAAAACCAGTCTGAAGAGGCTATATACTATATGATTCAATTTATGACACCTGGAAAAGAAAACTATGGAGATGGGAAAGAGACCTGTGGTTGCCAAGAGTTCAGGGGCAGGGGGTTTTGAATAGGTGAAGCACCAATGACTTTTTAGGGGAGTGAAACTATTCTGTCTAATACTGTTAGTGGTGAGTGCATGACACTATTCATCTATAAAAACCCATGGAACCCTACACCATAAAGAGTGAATCTTAATATATTCAAACCAAAGCAAAACAAACAAACAAAAACATTAGGAGATGGGAGACCCAGGGTAGAATGTAGACTGGGACAAAAAAATTTTTTAACTGTGTTACAAGGGTATGACATCACCTCAGTGAAAGGAGCCAATAGCATAGAGAGCATTTTCTGTCTCCAATGCAACAAAATTAAGTATCAGTAAAACTTGCAAAAGCCAGAACCTGTGTAAGGCGGAAACCTGTCAGAGAAGGAAAACTCAATATTTCCCACTAAAACGAGCGATAGAAAATTGGTAAGACCGCACCCTGTCAAAGGTGGAAAACTTGCAAGATCTGGCAAAACAAGGCAGTCCCATCAAGCTCTGGCTCTCACAGGTTTCACTGCATCAGTAATAAAGTCAATAGAAGTCTCAAATTATTCACTGGAAATGGAAGGTAAATAAAATCACGTTATTCATGGGTAGCTAGGGTTTTCTCCATGATAGCAGACTAGGTGATTCGGAGAAAAATGAAAAATAAATCTTAATAGCATCAAAAACCTAAGAAAATAGGAAAACTTAGTAAACAGTATGAAGGAACCCTGGTGGCAGAATCGTTCAGCACTAGGCTGCTAACCGAAAGGTTGGTGGTTTGAACCCACCAGTGGGTCCATGGAAGTAAGATGTGGCAGTCTAGTTCCATAAGGAGTTACAGCTTTGGAAACCCTATGGGGCAGTTCTACTCTGTAACACATGGGGTCACCATGAGTAGAAAATAGACTAGACAGTACCTAACAGCAACAAATAGAATAAGAATACAATTACGGAAAGATGACTATCAATGACCCTCACCAACTTCTGGCTTTTGCCAATAGTTTTAAAGAGGTTGCTTTTGGTAAAATCTTGAGTCATGGGGCAAATATAGCTGCTTCCTGTTCCATCAGAGGAACAGCTTCTAAAGCAGTGGTTCTCCAAGCGGTTCTTTAATTTAGCAACATTAGCATAACTGGGCAAATTGTTAGAAACGCAAATCCCGAGCCCCTCCCTATTGTTGTTGTTGTCAGTTGCCGGGGAGTCCACACTGACTCACAGTAACTCATGTACAACAGAACAAAATGTTGCCCAGTCTTGCACCATCCTCACAATTGCAGCATGTGAAAGTCCATCTTGCAGCTACTATGCCAATCTATCTCACTGAGAGTCTTCCTTACCCTCACTGGCCCTCTACTTCTTCAAAAATGATGTCCTCCCCTAGTGATTGATCCCTCCTGAGGAGGTGATCAAAGTAAGTGAATTTGGCAATGTTCTATTGTGATCCATAGGGTTTTCAGTGGCTAATTTTTGGAAGTAGATCAACAGGCCCTTCCTTCTAGTCTGTCTTAGTCTGGAAGCTCCACTGAAACCTGTTCATCATGAGTGACGCTGCTGGTATTTGAAATACTGTCGGCATAGCTTCCAGCATCACAGCAACATGCAAGCCACCACAGTATGACAAACTGACAGATGGGTGGTGGCTGCACATGAGGTACATTGGCTGGGAATCGAACTCTGGTCTCCCACATGGAAGGCAAGGATTCTACCACTGAACCCCAGTGTTAGAATCACCCCATGAGACTCAAGTACTCCCATCATTTTCACAGGCCTCAGGCTTAACTGACAGAGAACTCACAAGCACAAAAAGCTCATCTGCTCCACTATCTTTAGAATAGGAAAGACCAGGTGGACACAGTAGAAATGGCCTGGCTGTGGAACATTTGGTATTTTAATATCTAGTGAAAACCCAAACCACCTGCTGTCGGGTCGACATTGACTCATAGTAACCTCATGTGTGTCAGAGTAGAACTGGGCTCCACAGGCTTTTCAATGGCTGTGATCTTTCAGAAGTAGATCACCAGAACTTTCTTCTGAGGTGCCTCTGGGTAGACTCTAACCTCCAACTTTTGGTTAGCAGCCAAGCACATTAACTGTTTGCACCACCCAAGGACTCCTGGAATTTTAATAGAACATTCCTAAAAGTAGGGATGTTAGACATAATGATTGCAATAATCTCTAAACTGCTATTTAAACTGTTAAAGAATCAAATTTCAGGGCCATGGGGTGAAGACATGCTGAACCCTTTCTGGTTGGTTAAGAAAGGAGGCAAGACAGAGGCGAGAACAGGAAGACTCAAAGTAGCAAAGTTAATAAATGCCTAGAAGAGAAGCACAGTGAGAAGTCCCACTGACTCACCACTCCAGGTCTTCCTGGTTGGTCCTTAAAAATGGTGGCTGGAACTGGGAGGAAAAAGGCTACAGCAACCTATGATTGGCCAACGATTACACCCTTCTCATTGGCCCAGGTGGGCCTTTGATGAACTGACTCAGAGACTACGGGAAATAAAGTTTTTTATTTTTTTGGTAATTTTCCCACCTTACGTATTGGTCTAGCCCTCTGCCCTGGGTGTCATACAGAACGATAGATACTTCTGAGTGAGATTCTGATTTAGGATTCCCAGAGCTTCTGACCGTGAGGAGGCTTCTTCATTCCTGTTGCCATGGAGTCGATTCCATGTGACAGAGTAGAACTACTCCATAGGGTTTCCCAGGCTGTAATCTTTATGAGAGCAGATCACCAGGTCTTTTCTCCCTCGGAGTGGCTGGGTGGGTTTAACCCACCGACCTTTCAATTAGCAGCCAGCGCTTAACCACTGTGCCACTAGGGTTCCCCTTAGAATCCTCCAGTCTTCCCCCAAATGACTAATGTAGGGAGTAGGGGTGACTTGCTTTATAATCCAAACGTTTTGTTCCTTTCTGCCTTCTAAGCTCCTTGAAGAATGTTAGTTTGTCAAAATCATCTGTCACCAGTCTTATTGTTGTTGTTAGTTGCCATCAAGTTTGCCCTGACTCCTAATGATCGTGTGTACAACAGAACAAAACGTTGCTCAGTCCTGAACCATCTTCAAGATTGTTGGTTATCTTTGAGTCCATTGTTGTGGCTACTGTGTCAATCTATCTCACTGAGGATTTCCTCGTTTTTGTTGACTCTCTGCTTTACCAAACATGAGGTCTTTACCTAGTGACTGATCTTTCCTGATGTTGTGTCTGCTATATGTAGTACCTAAGAGGAGCCCAATGAATATTGGATAATGTGGTTCTGAGTAGGTAGTACAGGTGTTAGGTTTTTCAGGTGTGAGTTCCATATTTCATCGAGCACGGTTTTTACTCTGCCCCTAGCTTCCTTGTAACCATTACAATCATTTCTGAAGTTCACTGAAAACTATAATGTACCAGGAACTGTGCTTTTATAATCACGCTCTTGTGTCATCCTTACAAGAATCTGTTTAATTAAGTACTATTATTTTCTTTTCTCCTTGTGAAATATATTATACATATTAAGGAGTGTAGACAACATAATGAAAATTTTAAGAAATAACCATAGTTATAATACAAACCTCTCTGGTCAGAACCCACATTAAGAAATAAAAATTACCAGCACCTTGGCAGGCTCTGTCTACCCTGCTGCCGTCTCATGCTTGTTCCACCCTCACTGGTTGTAACCGAAGTGAGTTTTGTGTTAATTATTTCCTTGACTTTCCTTTTATTTTTCCCACTGATATATGTTCCCATAAGATACACTTCAATGAGATGGATTGACACAATATCCACAACAATGGGCTCAAACATACCAAGGATCATGAAGACGGCACAAGACAGGACAATGTTTCATTCTGTTGTACGTAAGGCCGCTGTGAGTCAGAGATGACTTGACTACAACTAACATTAACAAGAACAACAAGAAATCCCTGGCTGGTGCAAATGGTTAACGTGCTCAGCTGCTAATCGAAAGGTTGGAGGTTAAAGTCCACCGAGAGGCATCTTGGAAGAAAGGCCTGGGGATCTACTTCTGAAAAATCATCCTTTGAAAATCCTGTGGAGCACAGTTCTACTCTGACACGCATGGGGTCATCATGAGTCAGGGTTGACTTGATGGCAACTGGTTACTGGAAGATATATATTTAGTTTCGCTTGTTTTTAAATTATAGTGTATATACCCTTCTGTGACTTGCTTCTTTCAGTAACCATTATGTTTTAGAGATTCATCAGTGTTAATTTGTTTTAGCTGCATTTCACTTAGTCTTACCTTACAGTATTTAAGTGTATGAATGTATCATGATTTAAGTATCCATCTTACCATTGATGTACAGTTGGATTACTTCTCAATTTTTGCTGATATGAACTGC